ACACACTATACACACACACACACACACACACACTCCCCCCAACTCCCGTCCCCTGAACCTACTTCTTAAGTAGACTCATCAACTGATGATGGCCCAACTCCTCAGATCCCAAGAGGTCGAAACATCTTCACCACAGAAACCGATACCTTCATCTTCTCAAAAAGGAGCCCCTTCATCCCCCAGATACCCACAAACATCCATGGTGCTGAGGCGCTAGGCCTCCTTTTCTCTCCCCTTCTGTCAGCCACTGATCCCAGATCTTAGCTGGAGATTATTTTCAAGCCCTATCAAAGCCCAGAATTCACAAGTGAAAAAGGACCATGAGCTGACCCGGCCTCAGCGGATGCCAAGAGCCCCGCTGCAGTAGACAATATTAGGGCCAGGGCCAGGGCAGACATAAGTGGAGCCTTCTCCCAAGAGACAGACAAGTTCTCTGAACCAGAAACCAGACCCTTCCCTCAAAAAACCACAAGTCCCAACCTCCGTGAGTCCTAACCTTTGTTCATAACATCCTGTTAGCTTATCTCATGACCCCCAAACACTTTAAAACCTACTTTTAACACATAGACGGGTTGGGCCCAACTCTGAGCCACCAGCACCACTTGCTCCTTTACTTGCTTACCTGATCTCTTCCTCCTCCCTCGGCTCCAGCTAGGTTCAACTTTACCATCACCCCCTGAAGACGTACTTGCTCGTTCCTCAGAGGCCCAGCAATGTCCCTGCTGAAACCTTCCTCAGCTCCTTCAGTCTCACAGATTCTCCTCTTTCAAAGCTCCTATATACCCAACCACACTATTTAGCCCTAGACCAGCAAAGTCCCAGAACTTTCTGGGAGGATGGAAATATTCTTCTGTGCTGTCCAATCTGGTAGCTACTAGCCACATGTGGCTACTCAATACTTGAAACATGGTTAGCAACTGAATTTTTAATTTAATATTTAATTTAATTAATTTACATTTAAACAGCTACACATGACTACTAGGTACCATACTGGACGATGCAACCCTAGACCACTACGTCTGTTACTTTCCATCTTCTCCAATAGGTTTCTTGGTCCCTCAAATTTTACAGAACTGTCCACACAACTAAGTATATAGTACTTGCTCAGCAAATCGTTAACCATCCATAACCATAGTGGATATAAGAGTCTGGTTTGGTAAAAGAAACCTTTCTAACCTTGTGATTACATCCAGGATACCAGCAAAAGACAATGTGGGACACTGCCCCTACTCCAGCCACACTAGCTGCTTTGCTCTGTGATACATACACAATATGAAGTGTGCTCGGTACGGCTGGTAGACCATAAGGACTTAGGCGCTCTGGCACTTCCTTGCACTGGCAATATTATCCCCTCTAACAGTGTCCAGACGAACCACAAGAGGTGCCCATCACCTTCTCCTTCCTGGCACCAAAGGAATTCACATCACAGTGACCTTTAAGAGACCTGGGAAGTGGATTGCAGCTGGAGAGAGGAGAGAAGGAGAAGAAACCACAGAGCCTTGTTTCCTCTATTTCACACAATGGAAAGATAAACAGAGATAAGTTATGACAACATTCTATATTTTGTAAAGCAATAACATGCTTCATCCAATCCGTGTCACACGGCAGAGAGGGGCGATAGTGCTGGCTTTAATTAAATTTGTTCAGCTAATACCTATGCGTCACCATGACACAGTGGAGGAGGAAGGGGCTGAGGAACCCCATGGGGAATACAACCAATTAACACAGAGAGGGATGAGACTAGGTGTCCCCACCAAAGAAATAGTTAGAATTCCCATGTTCTCCTACAAAATAAATAAATAAGATTTCCATCAAACACTCCCTAAAAGGGCCTGGGGGGAACTTGTCACAGCAGATCCAAAGGGCACAGAGCTGCTGAGTTGGTTTATAAATGTCCCTCCAACTTCAGGGACTGCTGCTGGTAAAGCAGTAAGCCCCTCCTGATGCGCTCCTGCCTACAATCACAGCAGGACATGCTGTGAGGAAGCAGCTCCTTGGGCTCTAGGGGCTCTGGGAGCAGCGGCCAGTTCCGTGTCCTGGCTGCCGATGTCACTGCAGCTACAAAGTGGCAAGAAGCCTAAGACTGAGAGACAAGCATCCCAGGTTCTAATTCAGACTCTGCCAAGTGAATAGCTGTGTTACCTCAAGTAAGTCACTCCCTCACTCTGGGCCTTGCCCTTCTCATCTGCAAAATGAGGGGGCTGGATGAGATGACCCTGAAGTCCCTTCTGACTCTGACTGGAAGTATGAGTATGACTCAGAACATAACCCAAGCAGCCAGAAGAGATGGTGAGCTGAGGTCACAGCACCTACCAGTAGCACTCATATGCTGTATCTCTGAGGTGGAGGTAGAGAAGCAGCAGAGCGAGTTGGGGCTATTTTTTTAAGCACTGATTTCACTTAACAGGGTTAAGAGGTCACCAGACCATAGACAGAGCACAGGACATACAGGCAGCCATCAACTCTCAGAGCTGTGAAGTAACCAAATTCAGAGGCCCCATTAGGGGCCCTGCTGCTGCTCACCAGCCCTCTGTCCTAAATCCCCAGGAATGGCCTTGACCCACAGTGCAGAGCAATCGTCTACTCCCTTTGTCTTCCAGCACCTTCCCAATGGAGCAATCTCTCCTGCCCACCACACCTTCCACCCTTGGTTTATAATCAAAAGACTCCTGGTTTTGAAAATCATTTCACTACTCAACACCTAAGGTTAAGTTAATCAAAAGTCAAGATCTAGAAATTTCTTTGGTATATGTCTCTAGAACAGGATTCTTGGAACCAGACTCCCCCCACAGCTGTAATTATGTCTTAACCAATATTTGGATATGGAAGGGCTTTTGACACTGCTGTCACTCTCCTTATGCCTCATTCCTTCTTTTTTCTTCTATTATTAAGCTTTTACACAAAGATGTGTGGGAAATCTACAGTTTAACAGTTGAGTCAACTTGTAAGATCTGGGAGCAGGCTGCCTGTCAAAACAGACTCTGACTTCAATCCTCACCCACTTCTAACTGAGAAGGATACATCACCCTCACGAAAACCCACTAGACTGTGAGTGTTATTTAAACCATTGTTATATTTTTCCTTTCAAAACTATTCAAAGGTGAAAAATCCAACTCTCATTCCCCTATTATTACAATGGAACCTGAACGACCATCTAAAAGCATACTAGAGAATGGTTTTGTGTGTCTATTACATATATACGGAGTGGAAATTGAGAGTTTTTGTTCTGAAGTCTTTATACAACATTCTCCCCATCCAAGAGAATGAATAGCCAGTGTCCCCAAACTGCTGATGGGTGACGGCAGATGGCGTCTCAAAGGGGATAGAAAACTCTCCTGGAAAGAATGTCTGTCACTTCCTCAACGGTACAGGTTAACTGTGGTCATATTGTATTCACTCAACTCTGTTTCTCAAGGTCAGAGCCACAGACAAGCCAAACATTCCCTCCCCCTTTCCCGGTTCTGAGAAAGGAAAGAAGGGTCTAAGGCACAAATACCGACATTTCCAAGATATACGACTATTCCCTCTACAACACTCAGCACGAGAAAGCAACCAAAAGCCCACAGTAGTGAAAAACAAAGAAATCTGAAAGAATTCAGGCTAGCTGAAAGCTATCCCCATAAGGGATGAGGAAAGCAACAAGAAAATCCATTTGAGAGAACTTAAAATCTGGGAATGGACCATGCTTGCCCTCTATGGCCCCAAAGTACCAGGTTTTTATTACATCTGATTATATATTCCAACAGTCCACCCATAACTCATATCTGAGTTTTGGATTTAATAGATGAAATACAGCTAGCTGTGGGGGTTGAGGGGAAAGAGAAAAATATAACACAGGAAGTATTTTTCTCTTCCTCCAATCATTAACACACCCCAGGGGAAACAGACCTGGTGTGTCACCTTTAGAGATGTGGTTTGACCTGAAACCCCTCTGAGGGGAAAACCTGCTTCTCGGTGACCCCTGAACGACTGGCTCACACTGCCTAGGGACCCACCCCATCCCATCAGACCTCCAAGTCCGTTCTATTTAACTTCTGAAGCAAGTATTCCCCCCACCACACCCCTTCAAAAAATAAACAGATGAAAGGTTGGGTTTCCTCAGCTCAAGGATAACGCTCTCTCCTACTGCCCATCAATCGTCCATCTCTAAGGCCAAAGTGGCCACCTCTGATTCGCGGAATCAGCATGGGGGCCACGCCGAGGTTTACAGACTCGCTTTAGAAAGATCAATGGAGCCATGGAAACAGCAGACACCGCGCCGTAGCCTGCTGGCCTCCCATCTGGAGCCGCACAGGCACTAGAGGTAGCAAGGGGCCTGCTCTAGGATCAAAACAATCCCTCCCCCGCGCCGGGGGGCGGTGTCCCCGCGGAATCTCCAGCCTTGCACCTCGCGGGGCCAGCCGCCCCAAGGCGGCGGGGCCGCGCTCGCGAGGCCCAGGGAAGTGAAATCACACATTCCGGCTCCCAAATAAGGAGCGAGGCTAAATAAACCTCTGAGATCCGACTTCTCCAAACCAACCGACCAACCAGCTCAATGAGTAATGGGCCTTTTGTGCCCGCAGAAAGAAAGAAAGGAGGGAAGAGAGGGTGGGGAACCACGGCCCCCGAAAATCACTTCCTTGAGACGGGGTTAAAGCAGAAGTGGTCCCAAAGCCAAGACACGATTCGGCTGGATCCCGCTCAAGCCCCAAAATGACAGAGTCCTCACGAGTCGTCTCGAGTCCCCGCCACTCACGCCCTGAGGTGACCGGAAACCCGGCTGGGCGGAGTGGTCAGATCCGACCTGACCTTCCCGGCTCGGCTCTGGGGGAGCCGCGCACTTGGCACCACTCGGGCGCCCGGCAGCCCCGCTGCGGCCACTCCTCCTGCCGGCGCCGGACGCCCCAGAAGGGTCAGCCGACTAAGTTAAAGCGACTACCTGCCCGGGCCGGTCCAGAGAGCTGGGGGTCCTTCCCGGAGCGCCCTTGCCCTCCCTCCCCTCCCCCGGGCCCTAAACGTACTTTTAGGGCGAATTTCTCCTGGGTCCGCTTGTTGAAAATCTGCAAAACTTTCCCGTTGATGCCCAGTCCCAGGACCTGGGCGGTGACCTTGTAGTCGTCGGTGATGGCGTTCTTCTTGATCTGCAGGCTCGACTTGACGTGGAACTGGGGGAACTGCTGCGGGGGCTGCAGCGGCGGCTGGGCCAGGAGGTGCGGCTGGGCCGGGGCGGGGGACGGCGGCGGCAGCGGCGGGTTGGGGAACAGCACCGGCGGGGTCTGGCCTTGGGAGTTGGACAGCATGGTGCCCGGAGACGCGGGCGCAGGAGCGGGAGGCCCCGCGGCCGCCCCCTCCTCCGGCTCCGGACGGGGTCCCCGCCACCCCCCGCCGGGCTGGGAAGTTTGCTCCGGGTTGGAGCCGGCTTCCCCGCCCCGGCTCGGCTCCAGGCTCGGCGGGTCGCGGGGCTCCGTGGGTCCCGCCGACCGCCGCTGGCGCCCACCGGCCCTCGGCCCTCCCCCCGGGGGCCTGGCGCTCGGTGGAACGCGGGACGGCGGGGGCCCGGCCGGGGGGAAGCGGCCGCGCGACAACGAACCCAGCCCGGGGCCGGCTGCCTCGTCACAGCCTCCTCTGCGTCCGGGGCTGGCCCTTAAAGGGGAGGGTCGAGGAGGCGGGGCTTGGGGAAACGAGGCGGAGCCAGGGACGCGTGGGTGTCTTAAAGGGGAGGACGCGAGAAGCTTGCAGTGAGGTGGGCGGTGGCCAGGGCCTGGGAGGCTGCGAGAGGGGAAAGAGAGATTCTAGTTCTTCCCCCGGACCACACAAAGGGAAGGGGGCGGTGGATGAAAGTAGCTGCCTAATTCAAATGGAAAATTCACTTTCCTCCAATTGTCCGGATCTTTTAGAACAGCAGCAGCGAACTGGAGGAGGGGGTATATGTTGAAGGAGAAGCGATGAGAAGTATGAGCTAAATGAAAGCTCAGGAGTTTGTTGGAATTACTGGGGCTATTCGTCCTAGAAACAGGTGTGATACAAATATTAGATATTTTCTTAATTGAACAGTTTCCTCATTTTCCTATGAATTTTGCATTGCTTTTCTCATACATGTATTATTTTTCAATAAAGACGGATGTGAACTATTTAATAATTAAACCTTGGAACAGTTTTTCATATAAATAAATGTAAAAGGATGCGGGATGGGAAAAGGATGGGTTGAGATCCAGATCGCCTGAAATCGGGAGAGCCTTTACTATTGCCTGGCTGCGTGATCAGAGGAAGACTTTGCACCTTTCTTTCTGTGCGCAGAGTAGTGACCTTTCTCACGGGGTTGTGGAGAGTATCAGATAAGATCATGCAGAAACGGGAGGGCCTAGGGAATGGGTCCTGATTTCCAATGTGGAAAATGTTGTTCCTGAATCTACGGCCATAAGGAGAAGCAGGCGTTTCTGAAGCAGCCTAGTTCCTCTGGCCCCGGTTAGCCCCATGTCTCTGAAGAAGATGTTGAGGAGCTCGGTGGACCCATAGCGTACCCCGGCTCAAGGCAGGGGGTGGGAGGCCCTGAATACACGCCGCCAGAAGGCCTCTGCATACATTCTGGTGGAGTGTGGGGATGATTATCAAACGCACCCCTGCTGACCTCCTCCCCTCTCTCTCGCAGAGCAGTCGAGAAGTAAGGCACAACCTCAGCTTAAGTACTCATAGGCCAGATTAGAGAATGTGGCTTGACTATGGCAACTCATGGCCCCCATTATCTCCCTCCAAAACTCCAGAGCCCCAGTGTCAAGGGAGACTCAGCTTAGGGAGAAGAGGAGAACTTCCTGGGGACCACGCTCTTGAGGAGCGAATCCAGGAGACGAAGGCATAAGCGCTAGTGTCTCCTCCCTCCCTCACCTTTCCCAGAAGACACTTCGCCCGCTGGGAGGCCGGAGTGAGGGGGTGGAGTGAAGGGCGGGAGGCGCTGTCTGGCACTGTCCCTCCTGAGGAAGGAGGGCTTGCTCTACAAACCGCGGGGAACATTCCTTCTTTTTAAGCAGCATATATTTAGTCCTGATTGTGTACGTGGTGCCATGCGGGGGTGGATGGTGTTAACAATTTTGAGGGGAAGGAGACACAGATATGTACAAGACATCTTTAGAGGGGCACAGACCCAGCCCTGGGAGCTGGAGGAGAGATTCACTCTGTCTGGGATAACTGGGAGCTCCTCCAGTGCTGTATGGACGGATAGGGTTATACAGCTCCCCTGCGCTCCCCGACTCTTCAAAGTCAAAGAGACTACGTAAAGCCACAGGGGTTGGAAAACACCTACCTCCACCTCCCCGGTTCTAATGTGTTGCTATCACCTGAGGCAGGCTTGGGAGATCCCCCAAAGACTTAGGGTCACACGGATGGGGAGGACAAAGGCTCCATCTGTTCAGTCTCTTTCTCAGGTAGAGGGGTCGCTGGTCTGGGGCTGCTCAGGGCTCCATGTTGGCCTCTTTCTCTCTGCGGAGGAGTTGTGGGGCGGGGGGGTGATTCCTCTTGCTTGGCAGCGCACTTGACTCCCTCTCTCACAGTTCTGACAAGGCTAGAGAGAGAATAGCTCCTTATGCTCTTTCAGAGGCAGCAAGGCATAGTGGAAAGAGAACAGAATTCAGAGACAGATGACCTGAATTCAAGCCTGTCCTCCAGCTGAGTTATCTTGAATAAGCCATTTAATGTCTCTTCATGTCTGCAAAATGAAGAAAATAATAAAATCTGCTTTCAGGGCTGGGTGAGAATCCAGTGAGATAGTGCACATGAGAGCACTTCATAAACTATAAATTATCACGAAGTGTTAAATATTATCATTATTTGGGCATTACTGGCCTGCTCCCGTGCGCTGAGTCCACTGCCTAAGATGTGTCCCTGATATCAAAGCCACCTTCCTGTCTCGCTGGGGCTCTGGGGAGATGCTGAAGTCAGATGACCTAGGAATAAGAAGACAACTGAATCCCCAGCCTGGATTCCTCATGGAGTTGGAAGTAAGGCAGATTAGGCCTAGAGGGGCACTCGAGGACTCTGAGGGCACATACACAGTGCACAGAGACTACATAAACTGCACACACAGCCCCAGAAAACACACACATGTATGACCACAAACATATAAGCATAATGTGCCTAGAAGAAAACCAAAACCAAACCCGTTGCCCTCAAGCAGATATCGACTCATGGGGATCCTATGTGTTACAGAATAGAACTGCTCCACCGAGTTTTCTCGGCTGTAATCATTACCAGAGCAGATCGCAGGGCTTTCTTCAGCAGTGCTGCTGGGTGGATTCAAAACACCAACCTTTATGTTAGTAGTCAATTCCAAATGGTTTGCACCACCCAGGGACGTTTACCCAAATAAATGCCTAAATGGATGAATAACTGGAGAGTGAGCTGGGCTAAAGGAAGAAGCATTAGGCAAGGGGACCAGAGTCTTAAGTTCCATTGTGGTACTAACTAGCTATGTGACCTCAAGAACATCCCTTACCCTCTCAGTTCCCTCTTCTCATCATAGAATAGTGATAGTAACATCTGCCCTGCCCACCTTGGAGGGTTATCGTAAGGATAAAATAAAATAGTTTCCCACAGGGCACAAAGAAGTTCAAAGTCCTATTTATATAACAGCAAGCTTTCAGCCATCTGTAATGAGCTACTTAATAAACAGTTTTTATGGATGTATAAAAGTACTTCAAGGGTTAAAAGTCTGTGCAGATAGGAAGTACTATTTTTATCTACTATTGACACGCAAACAGATGCTGTGCAATATAGTGCACACACAGACAACATAAGCGGCTCAGGTACATAAAACTAATTATAATCCTTGATTCAGGACTAATTATAATCCTTGATTCATGATATAACCTCGTCACTGGATCATTGGTCTACACACCTCCACTTCTATATAGTTATTTGTTATTTTTGATAAGGTAATAGGCACCTGTGAACCCACTACTCAAAATAAAAACTAGAGCTTTGACAATGATTTACATCTAAACACATGGTACCTCCATCCCCCGCAACAACCTATTTCTGTTTCCCTGGCCCAAGATAAACAGCATCTTCAATCCTATGTTCATCATGCCCTTGCTTTCTTTTTTATATACTCTTATTTCATGTGGACACATTTAAAGGTTTTGGTGTCCAACCATCATAAAAGGTGAAGCTAAAAATTTCCTAAAAGGGAGGTAGCTAAGGATGACTTTATCTGCAAGATGAGGTTAAAATAAGAAAACACCTCGTGATAGTTTCAAAGCATTCCTCTCCTGATAATGATGATAATGATGAAGAGGATAACTGTTAACATTTATTGAGCACTTACTCTGTGCCCAATAATTGTCTTCAGCCTTCCACTCGCATTGTCCCATTTAAATCTAATTACAATCTGTGACAAAGATTAATAGTTATCTGGACCGGTATCCATTTTCCCCTTTGTCTTAGTTACCTGGTGCTGCTATAACAGAAATACCACAAGTGGATGGCTTCAACAGGCAGAAATTTATTGTATCACCGTCTAGTAGGCTAGAAGTCCAAATTCAGGGCATCAGCTCCAGGGGAAGCATTTCTCTCTCTGTTCGCTCTGGAGGAAGGTCTTTGTCATCAATCTTTCCCTGGACTAGGAGCTTGTCCACACAGGAACCCTGGGCCCAAAGGACCCGCTCTGCTCCCAATGCTGCTTTCTTGGTGGTGTGAGGTCCCCGTGTCTCTCTGCTCCCTTCTCTCTTTTGTATCTCAAAAGAGATTGGCTTAAAACACAGCCTGATCTTGTAGATTGAGTCCTACCTCATTAGCATAACTACCGCTAATCCCATCTCATCACATCATAGAGATAGGATTTACAACACATAGGAAAATCACATCAGATGACAAAATGGTGGACAATTCACACAATACTGGGAATTATGGCCTAGCCAAATTGACAGATATTTTGGGGGGGACACATTTCAATCCATGACACCCTTCCTTGACAGTTAAGAACCCCAATATTTAGCTAAGCACATGGCTACCTGGAGTATACATTACATTTCCCAGCCTCCATTATAGCTGGTTGTGTTCGTGAGATTAAGTTCTAGCCCATGACTTGTAAATGGAAGTGGTTGAAGGGAAGAATAGGACCTCCTCCTTCTCCTCCTTTTTGCTCCTTCCTGCCAGCTGGAATGAGAACTTCATAACTGGAATTTCGGCAGCCATTCAAGATAATTAAATGGAGGTCACAGGTTGACAGAAGAAGCCTGTGTCCCCAGTAAATGTGGAACCACCTACCCAGACTTTTATATGAAAGAGAAATAAATTAAAGTGACTGATGAAATGTGGAAGTGAGTGATGTCCCAAGACTTCTATTACAGCCAAACCTCTTCCTATTATACAAACCTATGAGGTATGCACTGTTACCTTCATTTATCTATTTTATAGACGAGAAAACAGTCCTAGAGAAATTAAAAAGTCTTCCCAAGGTCACACAGCAAGCAAAGGACAGAACCCAGGTCTTTCTGACCCAAAGTCCACGCTCC